CAGCCCCTCACAGCCTGCACGAGGTTGCCCTGAGCAGGCACAGGTACCACACGGGCTGCGAGTGGCTGCAGCACAGGCTGCTGGCCACAGGGGGGGTGAGGGACTGCCTGGGCCCCACGCTGACTCCGGGCTTGCCTGTCAGGGCTGCGCCGCGACAGCAGCAGCTGTGGCTCCCCCGCTTGCTGCGCCAGGCAGTGTTTGCTGCTGTTGCCCACCTGAAGCTCCCACAATGGGCAGCCTAAAGGCAGCGGTGGCAGCCTCACGTTACATGGCACGAGCTCTGGGAGGGCAGCAGCAGCAAATGCTGCCCAGTGCAGCAAGTGGGAGGGCTGCAGCTGCTGCCATTGCAGGGCAGCCCCAACAGGCGAGTCTGGAGCTGGCACAGGGCCCAGGCTGGCAGCAGCTGCTTGATGGGCGAGCCTGGAGCCAGCGCAGGACCTAGGCTGGAGGCGGGGGTGGGTTACAACCTTCTGCTAAGTGCACCTCCCCCACCCCATGACCAGCGCCCCATGCTGCAGCTGCTCGCAGTCTGCGTGGGGCTGCCTGTGCCTGCTCAGGACAATCCCATGCAGCCTGCTCAGGCTGCAGCAGGGAGCATGGGCCATGGGATGGGGAAAGGGCCGTTTTTCCCTGCACTTCACAACAGCTCATTCCCTGCCCTCCCCCACCTTATCTGAGCTTCCAGTGCAGGCCAGCCATGTGGTTCCAGGCCAGAAGCCCCTGCTGGGGTTTCTGGATGAGGGGGCGGGGCCGGGTGGGCCCTGCTGTTGCAGAAGCCTGCCAAGGATTCCCCTGGGTCCTGTCATTTTTTACAGGAACCAAGGACAGATTAAAAAAAATTCTGAAAATTAAAATTTAGGGGCCCTATGGGCCGGACAGAATGGCCTCATGGGCCAGATATGGCCCACAGGTCGTATTTTGCCCACCACTGATCTAGAAGGTAGCCTGAGCTGAGTAAGCAAATTCAGATTTTAGTAAAAGGTTGTGAAGAATGCAACAATGACAAAAAAAAAAATTGTCTCTGGAGCCATGACTTTCTACAAAGATACCAGACAGACTTTGGCAGCAGGTAGCAATGGATTTATTTTTCTGGAAAGGGGATACATACGTTCTTGTAGTTGACTATTTTTTCCAGGCACACTGACTTGGCTTTACTTCCACAAACTGAATCAGCAAAGGTCATCCAAAATCTGAAATGTATATCCTGCAAGGCACATTCTGATGTCCTAATATTGGACAATGGACCTCATTTTACCTCCGAGTTACTCCTACAGTTTGCAGGGCACTTTGATTTCAGCATTGCACTAGCAGTCCTCACTATCCTCAGAGCAACAGAGAAGAGAAGAGTACAGATTCTGAAACAGCTTCTACATAAATCCAGAGATCCATATCTTATAGTCCTGACAAACGGATCTATACCAATGGCATCAGGACTCTCTCCAAATGAACTGCTTATTGGACAACAACTTAGGATGCTATTCTCTATGGCACCAATACAATTTAACCTTAGATGGCCCAACCTACAGGAATTTAAGAAATGAGATACTGAACTAAAACTTCAACAGCAAAAAACCCTTCAATATTAGGAATAGAGTAAAACTACTACCAGAGCTGCTACTAGGGGACAAAAGTTTGGCTCAAAAGATCCCATGTGTTTGGAAAAGTCCAAAATATGGCAAACGCTCCTAGATCCTACCTACTGGAGACTACAGAAGGCCTTTTCTGGAGGAATATGGTTCATCTTCAATATAATTTACCTTAACTTAAAGAGGATCAATCACTGAAACGGACAGGGTCAGAACATGAAAATGAACCTCCTCAAGGAAATCTACAGGATGACTCAGTTAGAGATGGCAGCTCTAAAGGTTTGGAAGACTGAGCAGACCTCCAGAGAGAACTGACCTTTAAATATCCATTTATAGTTTTAGGTGCATATGTTAGTTAGTTGGTATAGCAGTATAAATAGTTTTAAGAGTTAGTTTGTTGTTAACATTTATACTGAGTTGTAATCTTATCTTGCTTCTTATAAAGAAAGAGATGGGGATAAATCAGAGCCCTGGTCTTTGAGATTTATTAGACAGGACCAGAGAGGGCTGTATGAAGGAAGCAGAATAAAGAATGGACAGTCCTTAAGAGGAGGCATATTACAATGCATGCAGGACATTTGCCTAGGTCTCTGTTTGATTCACATCACAAAGATATATAAGATCCTGTACAGGCACGATATGTTTATATACATGCATGCTAACCCAAAAATATCCCCTAAAAAAATAGATGTAAACTTACCATGTTTTTCCAAATGCTGGCAACAGCTGTCGACAAGACGAGGAACCTGTCTATAAATGGGATTTAGACTTAGTTTCTTATCCCGGGCCTTTTCTTTCTTGCTCTGAGCCTCTGCTGGTAAAGAAAGCTGTAGAGCTTCTAGCAGTCTGGATTGACTGTCATCAAGATCTGTAATAGAGTCCACAGACATTGCGCCCTGTAAAGTACACACACACACACACACACACACACACACACACATGTACAATCAGTATGGATGGAAAAAACTAAGTAGCTCCCTCCCAAGAGACTATATCTAATGAACTCCTTTGACCACTGAAAACTACATATGAAATAATAAAATCTATTCAAATTGCACCTGATCATCCACATTATTTTTTTTTTTTCCACTGAAGTCACTCTATGGGGCTAAGTACAGACAGTCAAAAAGCCCAAGGCTGAATCAATTTAATCTTCGCAGGTTAGTCTAAGCCAGGGGTTTTCAACCTTTTTTGGTCGGTGTACCCCCAGCAGCCAGTTAAGAAGCAGGGAGTTCCCCCAGTGGCCAGTCGACATGAGGGGGGGGGGGGTAGCAGGGTTCCCTGGCGGCCGATTGAGATGATGGGGGAGGGGGCGGAGTTCCCCCACACTCGCATGGAGGCAAAACCAGAAGTGCCAGCAGCACATGCTGGCAAAAGCACCAGTGGCATGCAGCGTCAGTGAAAACAAAAGCGCCGGTGGTGCATGGCACCCAGTGGCACAAGTGGCGTAAAGTGCTGGTGGACCCGCCTTCTACTTCTCCATGCCGCTCCTGTGTACCCACTGGGGCCTTCCCAAGTACCCCCGGGTGACAATCCCTGGTCTAAGTTGTATAGACTGAATGGATGAGAAAGCAAGCATACATTCACTTTTGATTCCAGTAATACAGAATACAGCCACATGCCTGAAGCAGCCCAGATCAGAAGCAGGTGGTGCTACAGCACACCTCCCTGCTTGGCTGGAGCAGACAGCTTGAGCTAAAGCTAGCCTGTCCACCCTGCAAGGGTGGGCTTGCAAGGCGGGTGGGAGGGATGCATCCTGGAATGCGGGGGGGACTGTAAGTTAAACTTGAATCTGGAGGAGATCTGGGACAGAAGTTGAATAAACCGATTTAACCTAAATCAGTTAAGTCTGAAACAGCATCCATCCAGGTTTATCTTATACCAGTTTGGGCCATTTTGAAAGTGGTCTATGTACACTGAACTTCTGTTGTGTTATGGATTTCTGATCATCAGGGATCCTGACTTTCCCTAATAAAAACCTGCAAATTCTTTGATTAAAACCCCCAAATCTGTGATTAAAATGAAAGGCCACTATATATAGAGGTATCAGTTGAACACAATGTTTTATTGATATATTTACAGTTTTATAGTAATTTGGAAGCCTACCAGTGCCTCAAATCACTATAATAAAATAAATTCTAGATACCTATATTTTGGCATTTGATTTTGGGTTTTTCATTATGAAAAGTCAGAATCCATGCTGAGACCACTTTGTATACCCCAGAGAATTATGTGCAGAAAAATTCAAAATTATGCTAAATATATATTTTTTTAACAAGTTAAACTAAATATAACAATATATGAACAGTCTTTAGAAATATATGCAGGTACTTTGTGCCTAGGGACAGACATTACACATAAACCCGTTTAAATGATCAGAAACTTGTATAACACTTCAACAGAACAGCATAATGGATACTGGGGCAGTGCACTGTGTGTGCCCGCCCCTTTTAGGGCCT